GTCAAAATATCAATTAGAATTAGGCAAGAATTCCTACCAGACATGCTGATAATAGGTTTACATATACATGATGTGGTGACAGTGACTTCGTTCTGTTGTAATACTTAAAAGTAGAGTTCTTATCGTAAATTGAGAACAAATTATTCGTAACTCCTAATTATCAGAGGAACATGCATAAGCAATGAGAAGTTCTGGAAATAACAAAATATCAGGATAAAGCCCATACCAATGATGAGAATAATATAGTGGAGAATGCGAACTTTAGTCATTTCTTGTAAAACCCATATAATGCCAATAAAAATAATAAATCCTGGCAAGACAGAAAATAAATATCAATATCTCGGTCCTAAATAAATTACGAAGCTTATGATTGACGTAACTCATTCTTAACATCTCAAAACCTGTAAACTCTACATAGATAGTCACAATGCTCCACACGTTGTGTTTATAAATAAGTGGTTCACAATCTTCTCAATTTAACTTCAGAATTCAGATGCATAAAAGCATCACCAGAAAGGTTTTAACTTTCTGCAATCGACTACAGCAGATCAAGACTTGAGTTAGTTAAGTTAGTTAGGGTTTTAGTTAAGCATATAAGCATTTCATTACACTTATATGCTTATGATTGACGTAACTCATTCATTGTGACTATCTAGAGTTTACAGCATTAAGTTGACAGATTCTTACCATCTCTCATTCTCTCATCACATATTCAAATTTGCCTCCTTTTCTGTCTACATAAACTTTCTTGTCTTCAAAATGTACCAGTATGAAGAACGGATTCACATACCCAGAAGGGATCGCAACGTCGGCGGTAATGGGGGCAACAACGAGAATCTAATAGTGTTGGTTTTCATTTTAATTTTGTTAATTGTTGTGATTCTGTTTTGGACCATTGTAATGCCATTAATCCTCTAAAATGGGTTTGGGAACCCTTGAGATTCAAATGAAGACCATGCATTATGTTGAAATATTCTCCAGCTTCTCTCCAGTTCACACGTCCAGCAACAACTCCAGCAACAGGTCATCCTTCCAGATCCTTCCAATCACGTTCAGCGCATGCTTCTCTCCAACTCATCAGTTCACGTTCTCAGCAGGTTCCCAGCATGATTCAGCACCTCATTCTAGCCTATTCTAGATCCTTCTTATTGTAGTTAGTTTGTTAAATTTTTTCTATAAATAGAGCTCTTGTATGCATTGTAATTCTTAAGTTGATTGAATGATATATTCATCCTTTTCCCTGCCATTCCAGCAGGTCTATCCTTTCAATTTCAGTTTCTATCTTTTATATTTTCTCTACATGGTATCAGAGCCAGACCCAATTATGCAATGTTGGGTGCCACCCAATATCGATTTGTTCACAGTTGTTTGGCATGGTCCACGCTGTGCGTGAGGGGGCGTATTAGAATTCCACATTGTTTGGGAAAATATAAATAATCCACTTAATAAGGTGAGAGCAATCCTCCCCTAATAAGCCGGTTTTATTAGGTGGAGTTAGGCCCAATATTCCTAAACATATCACTTCCATTTTCCAACAGCGTCAAGGAGAAGACAAACCCCAAAAAGGAAATATGGTGAAGTTTTGGGTATTGTTTTTCTACTGTCTTTTCTCTTTGATGAGTGCCTTGACATCCTTTCGCAATGTTGTTTCGACCGGAAACACCACTTTATCCTCTGAATATATTGAATCTAATTCTTCTCCATGGGTGAATGTGTTTGGTAGACGTGGCTCATTTTATGTAGCACCTTTGGATGTAAAACCGAATGGCACAGTGGAGCTTGTTAGTTCTATATCTTCAAGAGAAGGATTGGCATGGACAATTCATTTTCTAATTTTCATATCTATAATTACCTGGACCGTATATTCATTGTTAGCTATTGGTTACCATCTCGACAAATGGAGAGAACAGTCTCAACATGCTTGGATGGAAAATGCCATGCCAAGTCTAAAATTTTCAGAGGTTATGCATGATGTTTCTGCATCGAGTACTTGTCATATATGTCTTGAAGAATATAATGGTGCAGACACGCTTAGAGTTCTGCCATGCCACCACTGGTTTCATGTTTATTGTGTTGATCCATGGCTGGCATCATTTCAAACAACCTGTCCTGTTTGCAGAGTTGACGTCTCACAAGTCAGAGTGACTATTGAGCAAATCAGAAGGATTGAGAATACTACAGTCGATCTTCGGAGACATGCTAATCGTTTGGTGTATCGCTATTTTCTCTTCCAAGCAGGGATCTTCTTTCTGGCAATATGGGACCTCCCATCAGAGCATATCAGTTGGCTTCCACTCATTCTCTCCCTCATTGCAAGCTTTCGACTTGCTTATGCTTTCCCTTTAATTGCACTAGATTTAAAAAGTAGGTGTGACGAGATCGATACAGTCATGGCTATCAATGATAGAGTTGCACGGTATTTCAGGATATGGCGCTTTTGTTTGGTGACATGTTTTATCAGTCTAGCCATTGGTTTTGCTGTTATCTTGCCTATTGCATTGGTCACTAAAAGCTTCCCTGATGTCTATTTTAAAATTTGTTTTGTAGTGGCTGTACAATGCATTTTTGAACTTTCTGTCTAGCGAAAACAAACAAGTGATGTGGATTTTTCCCATTTTATGAAGATGATTGGATTTTTGTATCTTATTTATTTATTTATTTTTACATTCATAAGCACTTGGATTCTGGTTAATTTGTTTGTATTTAGTAGCATAGTAAAGCCAACTATTTGGAATTAATTAAAGTGCACTTGACTGCTAAGCTAAAAGATACTTATAATCAATTGGGTTTAAATTTTGGGGGCAACTTTGTTGAAGTCCAAAGTGCAACAAATTAGTCGTTGGAAGCATTGTTCATGCTTGGTGGCAAGGCAAATACGGATACATGGATCATGTTGAAAATTATAAAATCTAATTCTATTTCATCGAGAGTAATCAATTTAAAGAAAAAAAAACACTCAAGAACATGAGGGATTTATAAAGATTTGCCTCAACGTGAGACTACGTCCTTTTCCACTGCTGCAATAACTCATTATGCAAGAGAAAAACATACACATATCTTCATTAACCTCTATATCTCCTAGTTTTGATGATAATCATAAAGCCTAAGCGCGACTCTCTATTTATAAGATAAATTACGGCAAAATCAAGAACTCAATGAAATTTTGGTCCGGGTTCCGTCCCCTGCACCCCCTCGAGAGGAGGGGGGGGGGGGGAGGGGGGCTCCTGCCCCTCTTCCAACCCCTAGGGCGATCTCACTGTGGAGGTCAATTCCCCACCGCTCCGCGAAATGACAATAATTATACTCCACAACTTAACAAATCAATATAATTTATGTATTCTACATAAGAGGTTAATGTTGAGGCCTTCAAATGATATCTTCGTAAACAGTTTTCTTGTAAGAAACATGTATTTAAGATCATAAAGAAAAGTAAAAGAAAGGGGTTTACAACTTCTGTACTGTCAAATACTTCCAGCTCAAGCTTTCAATTAACTAAATATGTTTGACATTGATACCTTGAATAAATGATCTATGCTTCATAGGTGTTAGTGTTCATTAAGCATGACTTTTGAAAAATCAAAATGAGATTTTACGATCGAAAAGATGCTTTTGAATCTGTTTGGCGAATTTTATAAAAGTGTTTTCTAAAAGAACTTTCGGGATTGGAAGTATTTTTGAAAATTAGTTTCCAAACAAAAATTAAAGTAGCTTACTTCAAAAGCTCTCTACAGGAAGTAAAAGTAAAAGCAAAACGTGTTGACCTATGACTTAATGAAATTGTTGATCTATGATTTAATATAGCTCCATTTGTTTTGATTGTAACAAACTATACACACTTATATTTCTAATAAATCTTGTTTCTTGAGTTTTTCATGAATAAATCTTCTTAAACATTCAAAAGCTCAAATCGTCATCCGTTGAAAAACAAACAATCAAAAGAAACTTGAAGAGAACAAGAACTTTGAAGATTAATAAAGAAACATTCTTTATTAGCCATCTCTTTTGCATTCAATCACAACCACTTATAAGAGCAATTAAGAGAGTATATTTATTGAAAATCATTGAGCTTACTTGATTATATATCCTATTTCATTTATTATGAATAATCTCTTGATTATTAGACTTATAAAAGCAGGGATCCTCTCAAAACATAGTGCTTCATTAAGTCAATTTATAAGATACTATTTCTTAAACTTTTGTGATTTTGTATTAAACTTTGTTTATGTTATTACCTCCACTTCCATGTCTGCTCCCAAAACTCCCTGGACATCATCCAACATATTGCAAATGGGATCTCTTCTGTCACACATAGTATCCATACCAAGGTCTATCCTACATCTTATATGGACAAATGATATCATTTTGTTCTATTTCACAGATTTGTGAAGAGCTCGGTATGTTCTTTTTTATTCTTCTTCAAAACGTAAATCTTTCTTACTAAATTATGAAAAGGAGATCAATGAATGTTTTCATGTGTTCCAGTAAGTAATTATTCCTCATTTCCATCGCTGAGTAAACAAATTATGTGAAGTTGCATATTATACATTTTTCTTTTGTCTGAAGAGAAGAATGTAATTTTATAATCTTACTGGTTTTTGTAAATTTCAGGATCCTACCTCATTTCTTATGAATTCAGCATTCTTTCTAATTAATGAATGTGACGAATTCCAGTTCTTGATTAAAATTCTCAGCTTGTTTTAAAAATAAGAAGGTCTAATTAATTTCTTCACTTCATTTTGCAGTTGGTACAAATCTCTTTCATACTTAACTTGTCTTATTTGTTAATAGAGATAATTGATTGAAAATTTTGATACAAACATACAAAAACATACAAACTATTTCATTATCCATCATTCATCAAAGTTTACAATATGAACATTTGAGCTTTATTATTTGCTATTTATTGAATTGTTATCATAACTCTCTAATTACTTGACTTGATTGTATCATTTGTTAAGAGAGTTCTTTCAATTGTAAAATTATCATTTATATTTTAGTGGTTTCGAGAGATTTGTGAAAACTCGATTGCTGTTAAAGATATGTGCTCCTTGTTGTAAATCACTTAAGGATAAGTGATCCTTGTTGTGAGTCACTTAAGGATTGATACTTATTGTTTGTAAGTTATCATTATAGTGCATTTGGTCTTGCTCGTGACAGAGAGATTGATAACGGGGACGTAGAACACATTGTGTATCGAATCCCATTAAATTCGCTTGTTATCTTTACATTATTGCATTTTACTCTAAATTGTTATTTATATTGTGCTATATTCATACTTGAATAAAGTTATCAAATTTGCATATTTACTTCTCGTATTACACTTTGCATTTACATCTTGTTTATTANTTCTCGTATTACACTTTGCATTTATATCTTTTGTATTAATAAAGTTTGAGACTAATTATCGAAAAAGTTTTAAAAATCAATTCACACCCCTCTTGATTAGTTATTCTTGGGGTTATCAAAACGAACCTTTAGTCGAACTTAGAGGGTGAAAGAAAAAATATGCAAAACCAGCCCTGATTCATAGAAAATAGTTCTCAATGTACTTAAAATAGCATAATGGTTTCTTGAAGAGATTTCTAGGCCTTCGCAACGTTGCAACAACCACTATCACCGCTTCCCAAATTAAAATATTCTTGTATGGTCTCTGCTTATATTTCTCTTTTTACATACTGTATGATTTGTTGTATAAAAATTAGTTGCAAGAACTTTCGTACAACAGTAGCATGCAAAAAAGAAAATTTATCAATCGAGACTTGTGACATCACGATGTTCTAAAGTGAAATTGTCGATCGATAATTACTGTGACCTCTTTGGACAACAACGTGGAATACAACAAACAAATAACTTGTTCAGCAATTCAAAAGACTTGTAAAACTCTCAATATTATTTGAGAACAATATCTAAAAAAAAAACAGAATAATGTTATAAACTAATTTTTTCAGGAAATTGCAAAAGTAGAAGAATAATTTTCAGTGTGTTTTTCCAGAGGACAAAACTTTATATTGGAGTACTTAAAATTTTACATTAATCAAATTAAGTTTAATTACTGAAATTACATTATTTAAATTAAATTTGCTACTTAAAATCAAAGAACACATATATAGATGTAATTTTATTTTAATTATATAATATAATATATTAAATGTTGCATTAATATAATTGTAGATTAATTACAATATAAAATAATATTTATTATAGTTTAAATATAATTATACATGTACACGAGCTCCGATTTTAAGTGATTAAACTGAATCTAATTAATGTAAAATTATGAGTACTCCGATATGAAAAATAAACTTTTTATACTTAAAAGAGACTACATTAAGTTAAATTGTAATTAATCTATTATTAATGCCACCTTTTATATATTATAATATTATTTCATATGTGTACATGTGTGTGTATATATATATTGTGGATAGATGAGAAATGTTCAATTTACCATTTTGTCCTTATATAACATTGTCAACATTTTCATTCAAAGATTATAAATTGCAATTTTAATTAATATAATAGATAATATAACTATTTAAATCTAACTTCATTTAATATCCATTTGAGTGTAATGCTCATTGTTTTATATTGGAGTACTTAAAATTTTACATTAATCAAATTAAGTTTAATTACTTAAATTACATTATTTAAATTAAGTTTACTACTTAAAATTGAAGCTCACTTATATGGATGTAATTTTATTATAATTATATGATCTAATATATTGAAGGTTGCATTAATATAAGATTAATTACAATATAAAATAATATTTATTATAGTTTTAATATACTTATACATGTAGACGAGTTGGGATTTTAAGTGATTAAACTTAATTTAACTAATATAAAATTATGAGAACTCCAATATGAAAAATGAATTCCATACTTAAAAGAAGACTACATGAAATTAAATTGTAATTAATTTATCATTAACGCCACCTTTATCATCAACGTTTATCTACTTATATAATTATATTATAATTACAATATATATAAAAATAAAAGGTGGAAATAGATTAGAAACGTTCAATTTACCATTTTGTCCAACATTGTCAACATTTTCATTCAAAGACTATAAATTGCACGTTTAATTAATATAATAGATTAGTACATAATTTTTGTATCTAAATGTGTTTATATACTATACTGTTTTGTTTTTTACTTTTTAAGGCAAAAGAGTTTATGTTACAAACAAAATGAGTAATTTTTTATTTTGAAAATCATTTATGTATCTTTAATTTACATATAAGTAAACATTTTAGATTTAATCAAATGTATATCTCTTAATTCGATTATTCTTCACGTCCGTCCGTACCACAAAACTGGTTGATGTTACTGTAATGGTTGAAAAATGTTTAGCATAAACAAATAAGTAAACAAATATTACATCTCAGTTTCTTGACTTATTCAACATTTTTACATTATGTATGTAATTTCATAAGATTTTTATTCATACTAGTACGGGTGAACGTGCGTTGCACGTTAGTCGGTTATTGTTAAAAATAAGTTTGTAAATTTTCAAGTAATTCATCTATAAAAATGTGAAAAATATTCATAAGTTGGTTAAAAAAAAACCACATTTG